TTGGCCTATTATCTTCCTACATTTGGCTTCATTGCTTGTTTTTTGTGAGTCAGAAGAGGACTTTATAGATTGGTATCGGACATATGAGCTAATATCAAACTGATCGACTTGATCTGGACTTGGCTGGGATGTTTTTCTCAACATTCAATTGTTCTTGTATATATAAACCTCTTTGTTATACACATATGAGTTTCTATGAATTTGTTTCTCTAGTTAACCCAGACTAACACATGTACTTATTTAGATATTTGTGTTGTCTGGAGAACTATTTTCCATTGTGTCTACTCTTCCTGGTGAATCTTATCTATTTACAGGGATTCAATTATAACAACATAATGACAATTCCTGAATTTAAGCCTTATTGCTGATTTCTTTCCTGGGTTTCAGACATGTATTCTACTACCTACTAAAACTAACTCTTTACCTAGATCTACATCACACCTCAAATATAAAACATGGTGAAAGGGAATCTATTACTTTCCCCTCAAATCAACTCTACTTCATGTATTTCTTATCTGATCCACTTGTGCTACCTTCTTCCCACTTAATGGACATACAATGGTATTAGATTTTATTTATCTCCCTCTTTATGTTACCTTCAATGTATCCTTTGGTCTAATATTCTTCTTCTCATAGTTGTAATACTGGTTTTTATTCTTCTTTAACATGGTTTACACAATTGCCACAATAGTCTACAGAACTGACATGTCAAGCCCTTGCTGGAACACATGTAATGGTGCCACACCCAAACTCCTTAACAAAGCATAAACACCTTGTTCACCTGACTCTGATACTTTTAATTCATTTCTTTTATTAAAAAAATCATTTTATTGGAGACTCTTCCAGATAATATAACAATCCATAAATTAACTATATAAAGCGAACTTGTACATATGTTGCCATCATCAATTTCTGTACATTGTCTTTCTACCTGAGCCCTTTGATATCAACTACTCTTTCTTCCCTCCCTCCCCCAGGCCCCTGCCCTTGTGAACTCTTAATAAATGATATAATTTTTTTTTTTTCATTTCTTACACCATCCACTGTATCCCTTCACCCACATTTCTGTTATTTATCCCACTGGGGGTGGGTTGGGGTTGTACATCCATCATTACTATCAGTTCCCCATTTCTCCACACCCCCCACCCCTGACTCTCCTGTACCCTCATGGTAATGCCACTCCAGTTACTGTTTCTAAGGGGTTTATCAGTCCTGGATTCCATGTGTTGAAAGCATTTATCTGTACCAATGTACACAATCTGGTCTAGCAGGATTTGTGATGTAGAGCTGGGGTCATGATAGTGGGGGGAGAAAGCATTAAAGAAATAGAGAAATGCTCTGTGTTTTGTTGGTGCTACAATGCATCCTGGATGAATTGTCCCTTCCCTGTGACCCTTCTGTGAGGAAATGTCCAATTGTCTACAGATAGGCTTTGGGTCCCCACTCTGATCCCTTTCCTTCATGTCCATATAATTGTTTATTTTTGATTTTCTGATAACTGATCCTGTCGACCCCTTGTGATCACACAGACTGGTGTGCTTCTTCCATGTGGTGAGCTTGTTGCTTCCCTGCTAGATGGCCGCTGGTTTAACTTCAAGCCTTTATGACTCCAGACACTATATCCTTTAATATCTGGGCACCATCAACTTTCTTCACCACAATTG